CTGTTTGTGACCCGAATTGGTCGTGAACAGAAGCGTTCGTGACCCGAGGTACCACTGTACTAGCTAGAAGGAAAGAAACATGCAGCTTAAATTAGGGAAGTACAGCATAACTTTGCAAATTAAGTTACGATGAACTTCCAGGGCTCTTTATTTCCCATCTGATTCTGGTCAGGTCAGAATTGCTTGTTGTAAAGGTGAGTGAGACTGAACTGAAATGGCTGTGGGCTGTTTAAAAAATTGGTCTTACATAATGAGACTTTAGACTTTGAAAGTGCTTTTTGGCTGGTCTCAGTGAAGCAAACTGCATCTCCTTGAGCTAAGAAAAAATATCATAAATCAAATTATGAATAGCTATTTCATTCACAGGTACATGCACACACACATACGCGCACAAATACAGAGATAAGTGTTCTTTTATTCTTAGTCACATCATTGTTTTTCTTGGAATCAGATAGTCCTACTTAGAGAGTGACTTGGCAGCCTTCTTGAAAAGATCACATAAGAAAATTGGGACTCTGCATTGTTCTTTTTCCAGCCAGAAATCTTTAATGAGATTTCTGTTATTTCTTCTGATAGAATATATTTGCATATATTCCCAGACAGAAACATGGAAAGAAAGGGATTGACTTAGGGGATAATTTTCATTGCAGAACCTGTCTTGTTTTTATACAATTTTCATTTATTTAACTAATAAAGGGTTTTTCTTGTGTGTTCAGGTGATAGGCATGTTGACTGACACTCCAGGAAGGTTTGCGTATGTATGTGTCTGTCTGTTTAAACATGTCTGTCGGGAATGTGATTACTTATTTTCTTTTTGTTTCTTAAATCCAGATTTAGGTCGTTCCCGGGAACTGCAGTATGTTTATGTGGATAACAATGCTCACCTTAAAGGTCTCCCTTCTTACCTTTATAACAAAGTCATTGGTTGTAATGGGTAGGTATTCAAATTTAAGTATACAAATATAAATTGCCATGTATCTTTTTATCTTCTAAGTCTTTTCCACAAATGGGCTGAGTGAAACTTTATCTTGGATTGTTTTATTCATCATATTGTAGTACTATGCTTTAAAGGAATTTACCTAGAATGCCTGCTCCATTCAGTTGTGTTAAATCTCCTACATTCATTTTCTGACTATCAGATGCTTCTAGTGCCTTCGGTGCTGTTTCTTGATGTTCTTGGACAGTTCAGGGGGAAATGTTGAACTAGAGGCCTAATGTCAATGGAACAGAAGTCTTGACGTAAACCTGCACTTTTCCATATGTATTTTCTGATAACGTTCTCTGTGTGTGTTTCGCCACGTGTGGTTCTGTGGATTTGTAAAGGCGATGCATCATACAGGGTGATGTAGGTAAGTCTCCAAACTGGTAGCTTCCAGATCTTTTGGAATACACTTCCCAACATCCCCAGTAGCACGCTGTGATGGGGAATAGAGTTTAACACAACTGGAGGGTGATTAAAATATTCTAACTTTCCTCTTACCTCTGAAAAGTGTATTGGATATCACTTACGTGCTTTTCACATTAAGGTGGCAATTTTGTAGCAAAATGTGTTCCCTTAGCAAACAGAATAACATGTCTCTGTTTAATTTGGATTGATTCATAATTTGGAAAGCGTCCTTCTGTGTGCTTTAGGCACGGTTGGCAAACCTTGAAAGCATGCATATTAGATGAAATGGCAACTGCTGGTATAATCCCTTTAGGTCTGAATTGCCTTCTGTCAGGTGATTCTGTAAATAGATGAGTGAGTCCTGCTCACTCTTCTTACATTGGGCAAAGAGGGTTTTTATCTACTAGGAGCTGAATATTCATAAATACCAGCCACAGAAGTTAAATCCTTAGCCCTGTTGGGACAACACTATAGGAGTGGATATGTGAAAGGTAAATGAGTCCTAGCTTCTGCTAGCTGAAAGATTCCATGTTCTTTGAATGATTCAATGGCAAAGGATTATGTTCCAGTGGAAACTGCAGCATTAAAACAACCGGCAGCACTTAGTTTTGGTGGATCACGAAAATAAACGCATGGCCTTATTTCCTAATTCAAAGCAGCACTTGAAGATTGAGAAGCACCTATAAGCTAAACAAGGAACATGTTTAGCATGTAGATCTTGTAGCCAGATTACTGACGATGTCGTGAGCTACAACAAATTGTATTATCCTAAGGACTTAGGAAAAATATACTGTGTCAAATTCTGCGTCACCTTTAAGTCTTTTTGAGAAAGCAGTTGACTTACATAAGGGTCCCCTCCCTGAAGGAATGCCAACTATAGAGACCACAGGGATAACCCTTCTGTGGAACAGCTTATAGCCAGATATCCAGTCTTCCCCTATCTTACTGGCTTTCCAAAGATGCAGGTTTGGAAGGCTTTGAGAGATGTGGAAATTGAGTCAACCTGCAGGTATGGTACTAGCATTAGATGCTGATCAGAGTGATGCAGTATTTTGTAGCTCCGTGTAAGCCACTTGGAGCATGTGGAAATCTGCAGGGTAGGATCCCAAGTAAGTGAGCAAATATATACATTTATTGAACTTTGTTACTAAACAAAGATCTGAAATTTTGTTTGCTATATCTAGTGTAAAACTTTTATTTCCAGATTTCAGAGCCATACCTTTTTCTTCTCATGTCTGTCATTTAATTTCTTAAATGTAACCAGATTCTAGAAATCTACATTTACTTAAGTCATTCCTAATTTTCTATTGGAATATTGTCCCTCTTCATTGACTAAAATACTTTTGGATCAATTTCCTTGTGTACAGTTGCCACATTTACTTCTGTCTGGCCCCAGGACAAGCTTATGCATGTCTTTTGGATATGTAATTTCTTGACATCTGTGAGTCTGATTAAAACTGATAAAGTCAAGTTGGGAATGTCACACTTAGCAAGCTTCTTGTCAGCAAGTTAATTTTCGTTCCTGAAGCATGATACTGGGCAGCTCCTGTGAATACGAAGCGTTTGCCGATTGTTGCTAGGTTTGCACATTGAGTTAATCCATATTAGGCAACTGTTTGATTTTGATTTAGAATGTTGTGTGAAACCAGCCATTCTGGTTAGTCAACCAAGATTTATGGTTAGTGTGTTGTGGGGTTTTTTTTCCAGTAAAATGTGATTAATCAAACATGACATAGCTAAGTACATGAACCCATACTGAGTATTCTTCCCAACTTTTTTTTTTTTTTTTAAGCCAGGGAGTATGGTATTGGAATATATTTCTGATCCATGATTTATTGTTTTCACAGCATTCAGGGAAGTCTCATTGAAGAAAAGTTTTGTAGGAAGCAGAAATACACAATTAGGTTGTAGTTCTGTATCGCTTGATAGGGTCAAGGCAGTTATATTGGCCTGGTTGGCTATTGGGTGTGAATTCTATGATCTCTCTTACATGGTGATGCTGGTGCTCAGCACACAAAACTGACAGTTGGCTGTGAAACATGCCTGCCTTAGAATTCCATTATAACAATAAATCTTGAATTGCATTGATGTTTTAGAGTTCAGCAAGGCAGAGCCACCTGTTGTAAAAATGTCAAGTGTGAGTTCAGCAAATACACTGTTTCCAAGCAAGAGTATGTTAGAATTTACTGTGATTCCTTGCTAAAAGGGCCTGTCCATTCCTGGCATGTAATATATAAAACAGTCCATTATGAATAGAAAAAAAAAGGGGATATAAGCAAAACCAAAATTTAGTGGCTTCCCTTTGGATCATATTTACTATAAATGCTCATTAAATCAATACTTCCTTGCTGAAGAAAAAAAAATATTAAACTCATGCATTGGATCTGCTCATTTGTTTTTACAGCTCTGCTTTGCATGTGGTTTTATCAGGGACTTTTTAAATGTTCATTTGACCATTCCTTCCCACTTCCTTTTTGGGGTAATCCTCCACAAGTGTAATGTTTTCCTCTATTTTAGTCCATTGAAGTCAATAGCCCAGTAATGTGACTCTCTGGAAAACTCTCTGAAATAACCCTCCCCATTGTATTGTAATGTCCCTGAATGAAAAATACTGATCTGATCATTTCAAATACTAGGTTATAGTTTGGATGGGGCCACGTCACTGCTCCCCCTTTTAAAAAAGGCCAGGAAGTTATTCACAAGCAATGTGTTTAATGCAAATGTGCCTTTTCTTCTCTGCCTCGTTCTCATTGGAACGACCTGTGATAATGTCTACTTTTGATTGCAATGGCACGACTGAATGTTCTTCTGTGTAAATCAGTGTTGCTTGCACCCCACAGACTTGCAAACTTTTCT